CTCCGAGAATAATTAATTTTGCCGTTTTACAAACACAATTTATGCATCTTTGTATCCAAAGAATCTAGAGTGAAGTCTCAGCTAAATTTCTGTTATAATTTTGTAAAGATCCGAAACATAATTAATGAGTTATTAACAATTTTTGGAAGGTATGTTTATCGGTCCAGTGCCTACCGTGTGTAAGACAGAGAAAGGTAGAATGTGCGACAAAGACAGAAATATCTTTTCCGTGCCACTAACTCTCTTTTATACACCTTCTGATAGAATAGTATCAGGAGCCGTAGGAAACAAAGATATTGTGCACGTTGAGACTATTGCCATCCTTGTTGCGCCATCTACCTGTCCTTGTCTGCACCGTTACGGCAATAGGATTGGAGAATACTCCCGCGCAAAAATGGTTAATAACTTATTAATTATGAACCAAATATGATCAAATTTGTGATTGGTGTGTTGCTAGAAGTCCATTCTACATTCTTCGATTATAAATAATCACAAATGATGTCTGCAAAGTCAGGAAAATAATTATTTGTAAAACGATGTTTAATTTTTTGAGGTTACGCGGGGATACTGCTTGTCAAAATTAATTAATAACTCTCTAATAACGCATAAAATCTGATCAAAAACTATATGTGAAAGTAGCTGATGGTCCATTCTACATGCTCCAATCGCAAATGTTTATAAATTATTCCTGGTAATTGAGTTATTAACGAATCTTCCCTCGAATTGATACGTCGAGAGAGAGTCTCACTGTGCGTCCTTCTTTCGCTTCGTAAAACGCATAAGTTTGTCCTTGTCGGATACCTCCATCTATATCATGTGTTCCTACCACTTACCAGGGAATTCGAAGTCCGTCTAAAAAGTTGGTGGCACAACCGGGACATCTATTCTCCTTGTCGCACACTATCTCTGTCCTTGTCTTACACACGGTGGAGATAGGGAAAGTTAGTTCACAGACCCGCCACCGTAGATGGCGCCACCGGCCGCTCTTTCCATTCTTGTTGCACAATCAGCTTTCCTTGTCTAACGCATTATGAACATAGACAAGTCATTTCGCCCGCTAGTAACAAGCTCCACTACTACTACTTTATGCCACATTTGGCTCACCAGCCGTGTCTCGCCCAGGCCTGGTTAAACGATTAAGTCTTTGCAAAAATCGTTAATAATTTTGAATTAAAATGAAATCTGTTTGAATTTGTTATTGAAACGTTGTTAGAAGTTCATTCTTGTTTCTTTAATCGTAAATTATTATGAATGATGTCTATAAAATCAAGAAACTAATTATTTGTAGTATGATGTTTAGTTGCTTAGGTTATTCCGGGTCCCAGCTTGCAAAATTTATTAACAATTGTTTAATAGTGTATAAAGTCGGATATTCATAAATAAATCACGCGTGAGATCTGTGCTGTCCTTGTCGTTACTATCACATCAAATGGACGTCTTTAAATATATTATAAAATATTTTGTATAATAGACAAAGTTATGCTGGACTCATGGGAGTGAGAGGGAACATTTTTAAAGAAATAACAAAATATTCTATGTAATAAATGTATCATATTTGTCAGATAAAAAATATTACAAAATATGCTTTATATGATATGTACGTGACGGACGCAAAGGTTTTATGGATTTCTAAAATTAATACATACATGTAGCCTGTGTAAATAATTAACAATATGTATTCAAAAGACTCGAAATTCAATTTCAAAACAATTGTTCGTTTACCGTTTGGTTAATGTATTGCGAGATACAATGTTCCACTTTAACGTGAATTAAAAGTCTTCACCCCCGTGGCAGTCGATAATTGACAGTGAATGGTCTATCCAGAGGGGTGAGAGGCAAAATGCTCTCGGAAATAAAACGCGCATGCCAAACAATCCCACTTGACAACCGCTGATCCACGAAACGTCAGCGCGCTATCAGCGGTGGCAGCCGCCTAAAGAGGGTAGTGGTTTGCGGAGGTTATCGAACTTTTTCCCTCTTACTTTTTCGTTTTCTCTTTTATTTTCGAACGCTCCGGTGAATCTGTAGAGAGGCAGAGGGAAAAAGAGAGGGCGAGAGGGAGAGAGAGAGAGAGAAAGAGACAGCGAACAGAAGAGAATCCGGGAGCCTTTGTCTCGATAGGTAAGTAGCTTTTTCGACAGGGAAACATTCTGTCGCTTGGGGCGTGGAAAACCCGAGCCCTTTGAGAATCGACCGATTCATTGAGGTACTCGTTCGAAAATCAGATTCATTTGAGCCTTTCTATGCCATTCCGACAACGACACATTAAACGTTCTACCGATCGGTCGATTACAAATCACTCGTTTACAATGTTATACATACTTTCGATCATTACATACTAAACTTATGGAACGCCACAGTTTCCAGTATCGGTCGCGTGATCGGTTTTCGATTTTTCATTTTACAATTATACATTCGTAATACGTGGTATAAGTTCAGTGTGAAAATTAACATAGTCTTCAATTACTTAAAAATGATCAGCTTTCGGTAGTCAACTATTTAGACTCCGAATGCGTTGAAAATACATTAGATAGTTATTAAACGATGCACTCAGCGGATAAAATAGTTGATCAGGTTGAAAGTTAGCTCATTAATCACCTGGTCGAGTGGCACTCGCAGCGCGATTAACATTATTCAAAGTACCAAACGGGTCGAATGCTCCGCTTGGTTTTTCAGTTGCCTCGACGGAAGATTAAGCTCTCTCTGCAGGCCAGGAGAGTTCAGAAACTTTTAATCAAATGCGCGCGGCGTCTCTTTTATCTCTCTCTCTCTCTCTCTCTCTCTCTCTCTCTCTCTTTTTGTAAAGCTTCGCAGGTGAACGACCGACCAGGTGAAAAGCCGGGCTTGAATAAAGCGCGAGATGAATCGAGGGAAAATGACCGACGCGCAGAGGTGCTCCAAGCCGACCACCGGCCGCCGGAAGCAGAAGAGGTCCGGCAAACGACCCGCAGACTTCTTCAGGTACTCCATTCCCGGAGATCGCTCTTCATAGAAAAAAAAACAAATGATACGATTAGGACATTGTTCAAACTCTCGCGTGTCTCCGAGTTGCTTCTTCAAGCTGTCGAGAGAGTAACAGTGTTTTCAAAAGTTCGATGTCGTTGTACATTAACTGGATACGAGATCTGCAGCCTTTCTTGCAGTTACTGTACACCGTGTTCTCTCTCTACAGGACTCAGTATTATTTCACCAAGGGCCACGAGCACTTGGGAGAAGCGATCAACTTGAACAAGGAGCAGACGCCCTTCGCTTACCCGCCATGTTCCCTTATGTTCTCTTATTTTCAATATTGGAAAGCCGTAAAGCGCTCCGCGAACTTGGAGCGGAGGAAAGGAGTCACCGTGGACGCCGAGAAGAACAAAGAATTCCTGCGCACCCTTCGTGTAAGTAGTAATCCTGGCGGGAATCCCTTCTCCATCTGCAATCAAGCGCGCAATTACTTTCGACGAACCTCTCTACGTACTCTCGCTAAAAAATGATTAAACTTTCCGATAAGCGCATCAAGCTCGCGATGTCTTTACGATATTGAAACGGTTTGGCATCGATCGTGTTATTAAAAAGGTTGACGTCGACCTGGAAGCGTTGGAGGCGAAGAAGCACAAGGACCTGGACGAGGCGATGGCCATCACCGACGTGGACCCAGGTTTCTTCAAGCTGTTCACCAACCGAGTGGTGAAGGAGAAGTTCTCCGTGAACGAGTACGTGGACGATCTTCGCTCGATCTTCAAGGCTCGGCTACTGGCTGGACAGGAGACGGACGACTGTATCCGCATCGATCAGCAATTCGTGGAGGAACAGAGGAGACTGGACAATATAAGGGTATCTTTCCACTGCGAATCGTCGAACGGCCTAGTCCTTTCGATGGTTATCTTACTCCGCGCTCTTCGGATCTGCTTTTAACGCTGAAATCGTGCGACAGCGAAAGTTAGCGATAACGCGAAACAGCGAGACAGCAACCATACGGATCTCACCTCACGTCGCTTACCTTTTCTTATCCAGCGTCGCTACAGCAAATACGTGAGCGTCTTCGAGGACTTCCTGGCCAAGGATCATGAAATCAGCATGGCTGTCCTGATGCGAGCCGAGGAGGAAGCGAAAGAGTCGCGGACGTTGACCGGAATCAGAAACGATCTTTTCAGGCAATACGGCCAAGTCAGATTGGACGTCTACATGTGGGAGGAGAACTGGAGAATGGTGAAGATGTGCCAGAGGTTCGTGTTCCAGGTCTCGCCGATAACCTGGCGGACCGAGCACGATTGGATCCATCGAACCGAGTCCGGAGAGTGCGTCGTCACCGACAACGATTTATTCGGCCGCTACAGAATGGTCGACGAGGTGCCTTCCCTGGACTGTTTGATAGGTGCTCCTACATTCTTCTCGCCTGTAACTGAACAGCGGAACTTACACGTCGCAGCTCTTACATAGAGATAATTAAATTAGCGCTGAACTTATACCGAGACGGTCGTTTCGATCGATTTAGATCGTTCGAAGTACAGTAATGTCTCCCTTACCGACGCTCAGATTGTCCACTAAAGTGGATAATTTGGGAAGAGGAGATACGATTATTCGAGCCTTGCGGCTCGTTTTTATGATTGTGGGCAATTTATAACTATAAAAATAAACCGCAAGGCTCGAATAATCGTATCTCCTCTTCTCAAATTGTCCATTTTTGTGCGCAATCTGGGCGTCAATTCGAGAGACATTACTGTAACTTTTTCCTCAGCGAAGATGCAATCCGCGGCTTGGTTCCCCAATTTCCGAATTGCGAGACATTTTTGGGACACCCTGTGTAGATCCTTACGTAGGAAATGATCGAACGGATTTCCTAATTCGTGCATACATTGTCGTGAAATCGATCGACCAACGAAATAAATTTAATTTTGTTATCCTTAAAAAACGCAACACGCGCGAATCGCTTTCAGTGCTCTCGGTAGGTTTAGCGTTAAGTAAACCGAGCCGCGAAGCTGTTCAGATTGCGGACTCGATTATAGGTGGATTAATGCTGGAAAAGCTAAGCTCGGCTTACCTTGGTCCGCAGAAATGTTCGAGGAAGACATCGCGGCGGAAGGTCCGACGGAGATGTACTTCGAGGATCCGTTCGATCTGATCCGAGTGTTTAGAGCGATCGAGACACAGAATCTGAACGCTCTGATCCACGTGGAGTCCATGGCGGTGCCGATGAGCGAGATGATGAGCCAGATCGAGACCGCCGAGGTGCAGATCAAGGCGAAGGTCGAGGAACTCGAGAGCGCAATCGCCGAGCTCGAGGTAATGCCTGAAACGAACACGATTGCTCTTAGTCGATGAAAAATTTCCAAACGCGTTCCGTGCCTCCTGGACGATCCGCCAACAGCTATTTAGATCGAGCAATAAATAACTTCCGTTATTAACTTCTGTTTCTAATCGGACATTCATTCTGTTCTTTTTCTATTTATGTTTTGTTTTTTTATTTCATTCGTATCGAACCCTTTTTAACCTAATTAGTGAAAGCAAAAACTCGCTTGTCCCGGTCATTCGTGGCAGATGAGAACGACAGATTCTACGTAACTGCATCGGAAGTTATTTACGACTCGACTTAATAAAATGGCAGAGAAACAAGCGGAAGAAGTAATTTGGTTTCGGTGGACGAAAAGGTCTGCTCGAGGAAACGTATTCGAATCGTTCTCGAAGTTTGAAGCTTCAGGAGGGCACGGAATGCCGGGAATCGCGTGGATCGCGAAAGTTTAAAGCACCGAGAGAGAGCTCGCGCACGGTTCTCCGCAGGCCAGCATCTTCCAATTAGAGACAAGGGCCGCGGATTTGAAAATGCTCGCGAACACGCTGCTCGAGGGAGCTTTTCGGAACGCCGTGTGCTCCGAAGAGGTGCTCCGGTTTCAAGTGTTCATCGAGGACGCCTACGAGAGCTGCATCGGGCCGAACGACGCCAATCTGGACAGTTTCTCCATGATGAAGTGGATCGAGAAGACCCACGAGGACCTTAATCTGGAACTGGACACGTTGCCGCCGGAAATCGTTCAGATCTGCGAGAAGGAAGGGTTCAAGCAGGAGCTGAGAGCCATGAGGGAGACCGAGGAGGCTGCCAGGAAGGTCAGTGCACATCGAATCTCGATCGTTGCGATCCTCTCCGTTCGCGGACCTCCGATACCTAAGAAAAGACAAAGAAAATTACGCGAATTCGAAGCGATGGTTCGAACGAATTTTGAGATACGTTCTGGCGGGGCTATTTCTATGAAATTCGGCTCAAACGAAAGCTGGAAGTGTCTACTTTAAGACAAGGTAGATTAGAATAGAATAGAACGACGAGATCATTTTGAAAAATTCAAGGGAATCGACCTCTGACATCGTGGGGTTTGCAAGATTCGAATGGAAAAGTTCAGATGAATTTTAAGATGCGTTCCCGTAGAGCTATTTCTATGCAACTTAGCTGAAACGAAAGCTGGAAGTGTCTACTTTAAGACAGAGTAGATTAGGCTGAAATTGTAATCGCGTCGTCGACCGCACGCGAACGAACTCGTTATGCGATCTAATATTTCTGAGCCTGTGCGTCCTTGAACATTTCTGCGAGTTTTTGTTCCTCGGTCGAACGCTCATAAATTCGATCAGCTCCGGACACTTTGGAAGCTTACACGACACGTCGTAATCGGAGCCGAGTTCGACGATAGTTCGAACAAGTCCTGGCGCTTCTCGCTACTAGTTTCTTATTTATCAGGCAGTTAAGATCTGCAATCAAGTGGGAGGATTGATCGTTCTCTCGGTACTCTCGCAGTTCGAGCTTATGCATCGATTACTGGACGCCCTGAAGCGTGTCATGGAGCCACCGGCGATAAAGAGTCGGCCCATGGTGTGGCGTTCCGAGCCAACGACTCAAAGGGCCAAGCCAACGCCGCCGCCCCCGGTGCCGACCGACGAGGAGTGGCAATATTTGACCTTCTTCACCAACTATTGCCACCAGGAGGACTTCACGGAGTATCGGGCACGATTCCCGGACGATTTCGATCTCACCTTCCAGCCGAAGCAACCGGAAGTCCCTTCGGAAGTCGCGGAGGCCGAGCGCGAGGTCGAGAATGAGCAAGAGAATGAGCAAGAGGACAAGTGATCTCAATTGCAGCCAGCTAGTAGGGCAGTGTTAGCGCGACAGACCGTCAGGTAATATCTCCAGAAATAGTTTATGCAAATTAGAAATCTCGTGCATCGACTCGTAGAGCACTTTTAGTTTGATGTGGAATAAATTGACAAAGATCGCAGGGCAATTTCTGTGACGCGTTTGGAAAGAGCAGGCTTCGCGCTTTCGATTCATGCCGGTTTCAATCCCGGAAAATATTGTCCAAGCTCTGGGGAGAATTTAAAATGCGTGAGATGATAGGGGAACCCGAGGAAAATCTGTGGAGAATTTTAAGAGAGAAATATCTTTACTTTATCCGCCCTGTTTTCTGTTAGAGAAGCAACTTTGATCAAATAATTCAGAGCACGCGAAACTGGAGGGTTCGTTCTGTAAAATGAGTGCGCGTAGACTGTTCCGAGATATTCTTTTTTTCGCGAAGTTACGACGCTTCGAACGTCGACGATTTTTCGCCCACGACTCGCCGAAAATCGACGATCTTCCGAGTTCCCGTGTTTTCCGCATTTTGATGCATCGCCCGGAGATGCTCGCGAAGTAAACGCGGGGCGTTCAAAATTATCCCGCGTATGGCTGCACACGGTCTGGCTGTCAGCGACAGCAGGAAACGCGAATGGGTCGTTACGAAGTGAACAGAATGTTTGGCCTTTTCGAGCCGTCGGAGACGGATATGAAAACCATGAGGCGAATTCATGGAGGAAGCACTCGCGGCAACGATACTTCCGCGGGTTTCCATAATTCTGGATTACTCCGTGGAGCTGCAGTGCCGCGAAGAATGCACCCGGCTTGTTCCTTTGCATCCTCTCTCGTTTCCCAAAGGACCCTGGGACGAGTACGAGAGAAACGCGGCCGGATGACGGATGAGAAAGACGTAAAGGCACACACGCGTCCTCTCGGTACGCGGAACCGGGAGAAAGGGACGCGGATGAGAGGAGAGGAGGGAGCGAGAGAGTTTAGAAGAAAGGAGGAAGCAATTTCACGAGTGGTCCGGTAAAAAATGGAACAGAAACGGGGTTGAAGGTGTACGTCAGAAATGGCACCGCGCGCGATACACTCGTCTTTCCCAACCCCCATGGAAAATCAATACTTGCTGCAGCTCTCTCTTTCTCTCTCTCTCTCTCTCTCTCTCTTCGTGTGTGTGTTTGTACACCGAATAAGCAAAATCAGTGTTTGCGCGCGTTTGCACGCGGTAATTAATGTCCGATTACTTTGCCCGTTAATTATCGTCCGATCAGCTTTTTCGTAACTGGCCGGCGAAACGTGTTTGCGTTGGTTCGCTGTTTGCGGGAGACGCTGCGATAATTTATGTTTGAACGGGTTCCAGCTCGGGGAATCGATGAATTTCTCGACCCTTTGCTGGCCGCGATTTTCGAATCTCGGAAAAATTGCGTCGGCGTTTCAAACGTTTCTCCTCTTCCTAAATTATTCACGTTTGCTTACAAGCTGAAGGAAAATTGGGGAAAATTTACTCTATATATATTCTGGGTCTAAATGTGCACCCGAGTCTCGCCGTCCAAGCGTTAATTAGACACGTTAATCGCGTAGAAGCGATTACGATCCGCCGTTGAAGCAGCGCGCTAGATTTTAATTAAAAACGAATCGCGAAAGAAATGCTCGCGCGTGCAAGCAGCTCCGGAATGAATCACGAATCCGTGTCGCCTTTTGTGTTCTCGCACCTCTTGCTCTCTCCGGACGATTATTCTCGAATTTAGTTAAGATTGGAAACTCCGCGGCAGATGAGACCGGAAGATACATCTGCGAACTCGATTTTCACCGCGACCCGAACGAATAAAACGGACATTCGCTTCTTCCGGATTTTGATGGAGAATCGAGAATGCCCCGGGACGAGCTAAAACGCGCAGCCTGTAATTGACTCGCGTCGTCGGCCGAGAATCTTTGACGCGAACGCAGCCGACATCCCCGAGGAAGAATTGATCCGCGCGACGGATGTCAGGGTTGAACCGGCAAGGTAAATACAGGAGGATTTTTAGGTCGGCCTCGATAGGCTGTCTCGAGACTGTCGTCTCGACACCGAGGAGTGCCACAAAGGAAGCTGAAAAGCCGAGGGTGGCTCGGCTCGAGTTAGTCGAGGACCACGTGTCTGCTACCGATTCCACTCCGGGAACGGAAGCGTCGAGGGCGGGATAGTTGTGTATCGTAGCGAACGATCCTTAGAGATCTCCCAGACATCTTTTCACCGTCGAGTTTGCCGACTCTAATCGCGGCAACAGCTTCAACCAAGAAAAAAAGATCAAAGCTCGCCTGGAAATTGCGGATTTCGCTAGAAATTCAGGCTCGGTGATTTGCAACGGACGATTTTAGGCCTCGGAAAAAGGGAGGAGGAACAGCTTCGATAATTTTCCCGCAAACATGACAACGGACGAAATGCAGTAATGTCTCCCTAACTGACGCTCGGATTGTGCAGAAAAATTGACAATTTGGGAAGAGGAGATACGATTATTCGAGTATAGTTGTTGAAAATTCGTAACTATAAAAACGAATCGCAAGGCTCGATTAATCGTATCTCCTCTTCCCAAATTATCCATTCTTGTGGACAATCTGAGCGTCAATTATTATTATAAATATTCTTCCGAATATTCCGAGTCTTTCGGTTGCCGAAGAGTCGCTGGATCCTTTGCAAACACTCTAGGTGCCGGTAGAGGAACCGATCTCCGAGGAACCGATCAGCCAAAGAGACCGGCGAGCTCGAAGCAAGGGAGACAATATTTTCTCGGCGAAGTCTTCCTGGTAACGGTGACTTCGAGATGCGGGGCGAGTGCACAGGCTGAGGAAAACGGGAGAGCAAGGGTCTGGAAGGTTGGAGCACCGGTCCCAGAAGAATGGCCGCCGCTGCGCCGCGTCGTTCCCGTGGAAATCGGCGCTGGAAAGTCCGGATTTTGCGTACTTCGAGGAGGCCTTTCGAGATTATCCCCATGGCAACGAGGATTGCTCGATAGCAGACAGGCTAGGGTACTCTTCAACGAGCCCTCTCCCTTCTCTCCTCTTCCTCTCCACTCCTCTCCTCTCCTCTCTCCTCTCTCCTCTCTCCCGGTGTCCTCCCTCTCGTTCTCCTGGCCGTTGCTCTTGATCGCCCGACTGTTTTCAACCCCCTCCGGTGCAAACGGCTGCTTTCGCCTCGTTCTCTTCCTTTTTTTCGCACGCACACCGGTCCTTGCGTGTATTTTGCCCTTTACCACGTTCCAACGGGTCCAACCCGCGCTATATTATTCACCATTCAGCTGTCCGTGAACTCTCCGCGGCTAGAAGAGGGCCTTTTGTCTCGGCGCGGCACTCATCCTCGCGTTCGAGCTGCCTCCGCCTCCTAGCCCTCGTCTCCGCTACGTCTTCCAGTTGCAGCCGAATCTTCGCGACTTCCTCCAGCGAGCTGTCTTCGTTATCTTCCCACGCGCTGTCTCTGAAAAGATCCGAGTCGTTGCACCTGCCGCAGAGCTTCCACTCGGCGTGAAACCCTCCGTCCTCGTTTCATCTACGAACGACCATCTGGCCGAATGCTCGACTCGGGTCCACGTTCAAGCTGCTGCAACATCCTCGACGAAAATCGGACGATCGAAACCACCACTTTGATCCTCCTATTCTCATTTATCTCGCGCATTTCTTCCTGCGCCGGGAAAACGAACACCGCAAGCCGATAGTTGAAATTGTTGGCACATCGTCTCGGATGAAACGTCGTCGATGTTCAAGCTGCCGTAGCTCCGCGACAAAAAATCGGGGGACAGTGTACCCGGGCTCGTTTCGAAGGGTAAAGCCTCCAGTTTAATGCCTGTGTTTTGTATTTTTGCTAGAAAAATGCTGCTCCCCGCTGAATTAAAAAAGTTGTGCACCGACGCGGTAAAACGTGACGTTCTCTACGAATGAATCATTGTCGATATTCAAGCTACTGTAACTCCGTGAAAGAAGATCGCCGGACAACGTGCCTGGGCTCGTTTCAAAGGGCGAAGCATCTGGTTTAACACTCCCGGCTTGTATTCTTGCTGCGAAAATGCTCCCCTCCGGCGAATTGAAAGTACTGCACAGCGAAAGGGTGAAACGCGACAGGAATGCGATTCGGGTTGCCGAAGTAATAGGACGTGCCGTTTCCATTTTCCTGGATAGCACGACCGGCCGAGATGTATCGAAATTATTCGGAAGGGTTGCGCGAACAAGGAGTTCCGATGCAATTACGATTTTCCCCGGTCCAAGACGTTCTTCCTCGGCATATCAAGCGGCAACGAAGACGCTAAGAGCTCGGGCGGCGCTCGCCCTCGCTGTCTGCCGTCCAATTTAATGAACCTAATTAACCCGAATGTGTAGCCAGGAGGGACGCGAGTCGACGCAAGGGTTCGCTGACCCGAAAGCCCGGCGGATTAACAACGAACGCTTTAGGGATCTTCCCGCATCGGCGGAGAACTTATTTTTGGATCGATCTTCCGGTCCCGAAATCTTCCACGGTTCCCGCGAGATCGGCGCGAAAGCGAGCGCGCCGATGAAAGTTCCCAGCGGCTCGCGGCGCGGCTCGTCGCCGGGAAAAAAGAAACAGACGCTCGTTAATTATAGTTGTCGTTAACAACGAGATCGGGGCCTCGGTTTTCTAGGCCTCGTGAGAAAGTTTACGGCTCGGCGAGCCGCTCGCGCCGAACACTTTGTCCGCGAATTAAGACCCATTAAGAAGCGTTGCGCGTGCAGCACCCTTTTCTCGCTCCTGGGATCGTTTTCGAGTTGCTTTCTTTTTTCAAGGCCCGCCCCTCTAGTCTCTCGAAATCGTGCGAACTCCGTCGCGTTTGCGAAAGCAAAACGAGAGAGCTCACAGGGCCGTCGTTTGTAAAAACGCAAAGAAATCGGCAGGCGTTTCTTCGGCTGCGCGACGCCCCGCGATCCGTAATTATGCAACGTTGTTAATCCCAAGGGTTTGGAGAAAGGATTGCTGAGATTCCAAGCAACGTAGACTCCGCCGAAGAATCCAGGATACGGAGGAGGATCGCGGGATTCCGAAGAACTCGAAATACACGTAGAACCCTCCGTCAACTTCAGCTCAAGCAACTCGAAGTTATTCTTAGAATGTCAGGATC